AAATGGGTACCGGCGAACTTAATGCTGGGGGTAACCCTGCGATGGACTAGCATCCCATCCAGGGGGGAGTAGAAATACTCCTAGTCCCTTCATGCTACCGAAACCGGGATAAGCTCCGGCCTGATGGGCCACTTGGCTCGCATGCAGACTTTACCTTTTACCTTACCCTAAACTCCCTACTAGTAAAAAGTTGACGGCAGTTTCCCCCACATTCCAGCTCGTAAGGTCGGCATTAACCAGGGCACATGTTGCGGGGCATGAAGCGGAGACGTGTTGCAATGACACTTTCTCCGTACGTGTGACATGCCCGTTTTTATCGAAAAAGTTGATGTAAAATACTGCATGAAATTCAGTTGGTTTGAATTCGCTCGTCATGAAGTAGGGACAAAATGACCTCAATTTTCAATGACGCATCGTGTACACCGTTCTAGCAAACTGTCCCCGCTACAACATAGAAATGAACCAATATCCGCTTGTTATGTACCAGCTTGCGTGCTGTCCCAGCTGCAACACGCGTGCTACGCGCACTCACGAAGGGGCTCGTCCGCGATTCACGTACCCCCCACTTGTTCCCTGGTGTTTGCCGACTGTTATATTTTCATGGATTATCACTACCACTTTTTATCAGCTGAACAGCTGCAATCATGGCATCAAACAAATGTCCAATCAATGGTGAACACGTTTTGGATATTTTCTTGACGGAACAGATTACCTATCAGAAACACCCTTAAAATTAGCTTTAAAGGTATTTATAATTGTAACCCCCAAAACGAAATTACTGGAGGGAATTCAGAGCGACCTTAAAGTCTGAAAATTTAAGGAGGTTCTGAACCCTCTCCAGAGAATTTTTTTTTTTTTAAAAGCCAAAACTTGAAACTTTGTATCATGTTAATTACAATTTGACAACTATCGCACTCAAACCTCTAGGACTACAATTTTCCAAATACTTCAGTCTTGGTTTGCTAAGTGTTCAGTATATTTATTCAACTCTTGAATTAACCAATACACAGGGACTACTTCACTAAGAACGTTTGTGTACATCTTCCCGACTACACTGAGTCCGCGATTTCTGGGACGTTACTTGCCTAGTTCCTAGGCCACGATATTTCGCCGCGGTTAAACGTTTTCGGGTTACGTCGTTCCGGATACGTCACCGAAATCAAGTGATCGTTAAAGGCCTTGGAGAAAGCTGTACCGGAACGAGGCAAGGACGTTACCAAGCAACATGACGTCACCTGATGACAAGCTCACGTAACAACCGTTGCTTTTTCTGATATGATATCACGAATCGCGAACTCGTGGTTAAGATAATTTATGAAAATATGCCGAAGCAGCGTTTGTCTAACAAGCACGAAAACCTGTTATATAAAACCTAATATACATTTACTCTGCTAAAATTTGAATGTACACCTATTTCTACAACAAATAAATCAACGTTGACACCGCAGCTGCCGACAAAAATCATGAGGCCTGCAAATACAGCGATAACAAAAGTAAGAGAAGTACTTCCTTTCCATCTCTAAATCAGTTTAGTCTGCTGTAGGGTGAGTGGGCTTAACTGCAGAATACCCGGCCACTCCAAAAACACTTCTTGAAACTGTGGCTACGCGACTACGTGGCCAGGTAGCCACCTAACAATGTAACGTGTCCATTTCTCGTTCTAAAAACGTGAAAAAGAGAAAGACACAGCACAAACTGCGTGGCCGCGTATCCAGGTTTTTAAGGGGTACACCTTCGAATGGCCGGGTATTCTGCAGTTACTCCAGTGAATGTACCTGTAATGAATAAATTTCTTCCTTACTATTATCTGTAATAATTTATACAATTTAGACCTCGCTGGTTTATTTTGTAATGGATGGAAAAGCCATTGGTTTAGGCGAATTTGAAAAAAAGGGGAATACGAATATGCTACAACCTTGAATTTTCACCATGGATAGAACTTTTGAAAGCTAACGGTTTTACGAAAGTTTCACCTTGGATAAGGTTTTTGAAAGCCAACGATTTCGGAAAAAACAATCGTCATCCTCGATCGGCCATTACAGTCTCCCTTTTTAAATTATGTAAAAACGAATGAAAATTGCAGCTGGCCGAGAATAGGATCCCTTTTAGTTTCCATCAGTCAATTACAGCCCACTTAAGGTATTTTTGAACATAGATGATGTAAAGAAAAGGTCTTTGATAGCGCCGAGATGTGAAAACGGCCGTTTCTGAGAACGTCATCAGAAAATTCCTCTTGTCCAACAAAATTATTGCAATACACGCAATGAAGCCTGTAAAGGTGAATTTTAAACTAAGGCCTATCTTTCAAATCGTTGAATTCTTCTTCTCCGGATTTCGTCCAAGGAACTTTGGCTTTCCGTGGGGTATGGCAACGAACTCCCTGGGTGTCCGTTAACGACGTGTTCCGCTGGGGGAGCTGAGGGTTCTGGGCCTGTGGAATACAATCCTCCCCCCTGTGAGGGGTAGGGTAGAGATCGCGAAAATGTCGCATCTGTGTAAGACGGAGGGTCGTGGAGCCTGGGATAAAGGCCTCCTGTCTGTGGGTAGGGTGGAGATTGCGATGTCGCACCACCAGGAGTGGTTGACCGGGGATTGGACAGGCCCTCGTCTCGTGCGGGATATGGCGGGGGTACTGAGGATGGCCCACCTCTTCGAGGCCTTTGATCATTGGACCATCTAGAAGGCTCCCCTCCAGCACTATCAAGGCTTTCTCTAATCGCAGACTGTATCCCGGGATCATAGTCCTCTAGAGTGGGTGATCGATTCATGTGTGTTTCCTGGAGGCTTGCCCTAATGGCTGCTCTGAGTTCTTCATCTGAATCAGAGTCATTTGGAGTTCTCTGCCTTCCACCTGTGGAGAAAGAGCACAGGCGATAAGAACTGATCATTCCCACTAAAAGGTTTAGAGCACATGAAAACATCTGTAGTCCAGGACTGGCCCTCCCTCTGTCACGCAATCCTACGGTATCGGGAGAGAAGGTCCTCTCTCCCCATACTCTGATAGTGTAGTGTTGCATGACAGAGAGGGGGCCAGAACTGGGTTAAAAACTCCTGTAGTTTGTCCAATTACTTTAGAACTCACTGAATAAAATAACGGTAACACAGAAAGAGTACCAAAAAAACCCCAGCAATGTTTGGAACCATAGCCTGTGAAGGAGACATATTTCTGGTTGTCGCTCGTCTCCGCTGAAAATAAGTTATTTTTGGTGGAGACAAGTGACAGCCGGAAATACATCTGCGTTTGCATGCTATTAGAACCACAGCTAAAATAAAATTTACAATATGATCAAGGGTGACGACAGGTTTATGAGAATTCTTTGGTTTGTGAGAGTTTTTACTTTGTCACCATCCAAATGTTTTGGTCTCATTCTTGCACTAACTTTGTTTCATGTACTTTCTAACTACATGTCTTTTTGAGCAAGTTTACTAGTTTCTATGACCTCAAGAATCAAATGTCAATACCATTCTCAACAATATTACTTTCCCAGTTTAATGCACTTATCACCCACTTCCCTCTTGGGGCTGACCCCTCACCTAATCAGAGGAATATGCTCAAAAAACAGGGATATTACAAAGAATCTTTTTTTTCTGGGTAGGGAAAATGGGATTGCCAATCTGACAGAAGACGTAGCGTTAAGCGTTAGGCCCAGTTCAGATGCCAAACATTTCACGAGCCTAACCTAATACGTTGAATTAAGTACATGAAAAGTTTGGTGTCGGAATCAGTTAAGAACAGCTGTTTAAATTTGGAATGGCTCAGCCATTCTTCCTGCCTAGCTCAGCTGGGAAATTTGGCTTTGGAACAGCTTAAATTCAGACACCAAACTTTTCATGTTCCAAACCTAATGCATAAATAAATTGTTATAACATATTTTACAAGCAGTTTACACTTTGCCTGAAGATTAGTGACATTTTGAAATGATGTGGTTCAAACTAAATTAAGTTCAGCAAATTAAGTTTGATGTCAGGCGTACTTTTGATAATTAGGGTCGGTCCAAACTGAAATTAAGTGTGGCTCATGAAAAGTTCAGCATCTGAACTGAGCCTTAAGTTCTCATGCCCACTGGAAAAATCAATCTTCCTGTTTTGCATGGAAGAGGACCACAAGACAAGCCAGTAAATTACCTGTTGTTCCGGCATGATAGGTATAGGAACGTCTCATTCCTCTTGTCACTACAGAGCCTGAAAGATAGCAGGAAGCACACTTTCAAAAAGAACATTATTGCCCTTTCCTTTACTAGAAACCAAATTAGAGAAGAGTCTATCATGCAATATATATTAGCGAGCTTGAGCAAACCACGATGCCAAGGGCAACAAGAATGTCACCAAACAAACGGTTTAATGAGCAGAACAATGGCTGTGCACGTGCCATATAAATCTTTGTACATTTCATAGCCATCCTATGTAAAACAACAACGTGAAATAACAAAGTTTTGTGTATTTTGAAGAACATAAGCCAGGATGGATAATTGTCCTATTTTCTTCTTGAATTGATCACCAGCGTTACATCTTGAGTTTGAGAAGAGTTTAAGATCGTTCGGTGTACTAGACAGTTCTAGATAATTTTGAAATTATCATTAACTGGTCATGCGGGAAACAGTGAGTTTTGTTTCCCCTCGACCTCAGTTTTCCCCTCGGCAAACACTGAGGGCCTCAGGGAAAAAAACTCACTGTTTCCCTTGAGTGCTTATTACACTAAGTAAACAAGGTCTATAATAAACACCTTGTGCTATCTTCCAGGGTGCATTCAGTGTAGGTTATGCTGATGATCTTTGGCACAGCCTTTAAAAGCTAGCAGCGTTCTACTGAGCAGTTGGAGTTTTTGGCATATAGCCGGCAGGTTTCTTTCACAGGTCACAGGTCACAATCAAAACACTCACTAAATTTCGCGATGTAACAAGTACCGAGATTCCCGAGAGGCTTATCGATGTTTCCATGCAACAAACCCTAACTAAAAATGTTTTACTCTATAATTTTAATGAAAAAGTTTCTAGGGGTGGTATATGTACGAAATGGGTTGAAATGTAGCTTTCAGACATGTAGTGTTAATATATTTTATCGTAATANAACAATGGCCTCTTAACTTTTCTTTATCCCCCATATCCTGGCTGATAACACACATGTTATACCATCCACATGAGTCCAAATTTTCCCACCTGCTTTGGGTTACCGGTAGCGTTTTTAAAATAGCATTCTTCGGCATGGCACTTTGGTCGCTTGCCAGGCATGTGGTGTGGAATTTAAAAAGCCTTGGGGGTATCTTCGACATGAAAGTCTGGCAGAATGCACCCTGGGCCATCTTTTCACTCCTATCTACTGGAATACAATGCTTGCTGAAAACGTTACTGCAAACACTATAATAATAGGAGACACCCACCTGCACCACTGACTTTATCCATGAAATACTTCAGAGGACCTTTCACGTACATCATTCCAACAAGAATACCTGCCAGATGACCAGTAAATGAGGCATGAGGGACTAACAGCTGAATCACAATCAACTCGACCCAGCAAGCCCATCTCATGGGTACGGGGAACATACCCATCACCATAGATACACCAGAGGGTAGGTGGTAAGTTGTAAGAACTTTCAGGGCGAATATAACTCCTGAAAATCCGGCAGCACAAGTGTAAATGTACGAGTAATCTTCTGTTATGTTCGCCAGAGCAATGTCCAGTGCAACCAGCACCGTGTTTGTTAAGGCGGTAAACACTGCCAAGACGTACAAGAATCTTGAGCTTCCCATTCTTCTTTCAAGTGACATGCCTTTCCAAACGAACGAAGCCATGTTGTAGTACAGATGGAAGTCGTCCAAGTGGTAAAATGCAGCGAGAATGAGACGCTTCCAGTCGCCATGAAACCAGACGTGATGAGCACTGACACAAGCTTTCCCAAGAGGTGGAAGACTTTTCAATAGCTGAAGATAAACTGCGACGTTTATACCGATAAACGAGAGTGTCACTGGAGGAATCCTGTTGAACCCGATGTTGTATAGCTGGCTGATTAAAAATAACAGACCGATACCAGGACCTCTTCTACGACGTTGAAACATGGTCGATCTCACAAATTGCAAGACTTTTCCTTCGACCGATCACAAAGTTTTCTCTTTTTGCACAAACACGGAGATTTGAATCGTCACTTTGACAATCGGAGTGTTTACATTATGATATCTGCGACTGACGTGTAAATTTTGCATTGAATTTCGTTCAATTTCAAAAAACATTTTAGTCATCGCTTTTCACATCACCCGCCATCTTTGGTCGCGCGAAATAAGGCGAAGGCAAAATTTTGTCTTGGAGTGGAGTGGGATAATGACGTAAAGGTTTCGTTGCCTTTTTCTCTAATTATTAGCCCTTTAAAATACAAATGAGGTTTTCCTATTCAAAAAATAGATAAATTAATTAAAATAATGCACCCTTTTACACCGAAGGAAGGAATATCGTCCTTTGGAAAGTTGCAAAACAAAGAAAGGAACTTACCCTCTCCCTATTAGTATTTTATTCGCACCGGTTCAGCGGTAGTTTCCCATAGTGTAGCTGTTCCAAGATGGCGGCCATCAATACTGGTGAGTTCCCGGTTCATGGACTTTTACCAAAGCGAGAAACCGGCGCTGATCGATATCTGGCTAAATATCCCGAGTACGATGGTCGTGGGATTGTCATCGCTGTTTTTGATACGGGTGTTGACCCAGGAGCTCCTGGTTTGCAAGTGAGTTTTTGCTTTCTAAGCTTAACGTTGAGTTTTCAAGCCGATATAATCTGGCTTTCTTTACCATATCAGTGATCTACTTCAAAGGTATTTCCAATTTTCCTTTTTTTTTTCAGCCTGACTGGAGATTTACAGTTGGGCAAAGTGACAGGCTGGGATTTGTTTGGACTAGTAGTACTCGGTTTAGGGGCTACTGTTGGATTACTGTATTGCATAACTAAAAGATCAACCAATCAGAATGTTTAAATATCAGTCCAATATTTTCTAAGACTAGTGATGAAGTGGGAAAGATTTCTACAGTTTATGATTAATCATAAACCCATGTTTTAAATCTCTTTTTAACCAAGCTTATTTAGGACTGGAATGAGGGAAATTATATTGGTCCTTGGTCTTTCCCCTATGGACCTCACTACGCTTGATCTATACCATTAAGACCCTGGGCTGACATTCTCCCAGTATGGCCCTTGTACTTGGTTAATAATATGTATGTCTTAGTCTTACCTCTTGTATGAGAATGCCATTTACGGTATTTTACTGAGCCATAACATGGCCATCTTGACTACAATCCCAGACAAAATTAGTTGGGACGCTTGAGATGGATCACATATGCCCCATCCCCTCTAATCAATGTTGGAAAAAGTCACCTGATTATCAAAATCGTAAGTGGGGGAAGGGGAGAACGTGCTTGGTGTCCCAAGTTTTTTGTCCGGAATTGTAGCTTGACAAAAAGAATGACATGACTGTCCGTGGAATTAAACTTACTTTGACAAAACGTGTTGACCTACAAGTAGATCCTGAGTGGAGAGGATGTGTGAATACACCCTATTCATAAATGGCTACTACATGTACAATAATTATCTATAATTATTGCCATTTATAATTATTATAGATTCTTTTGTAAGTAACAGTAATTGGACCGAGTGGAGTACAATTCAGGGAGAAATCGCGTGAATAATTTCAAAATCGGACGAGCGCAAAGTGTGAGGCCGATTTGAAATTACAAGTACAATTTATCCCTGAACTGGACGACACAAGACCCAATTACTAATTGATCATATCTATAACAAATTTTGGAATTAAAAATGTCTTTTGAAAACTTCTTTTGAATGAACACGTCTGTAGTGCTTTTCATTAGTTTTGAAAACTGTAGGAAACATTGCGAAGGAAGCCATTATTAAAGCGCGTGTAATTGATGTGCGAATCACGTGGGTATCCAATTACAGGTATCCAATTACAAAAATTTCAAATTGGATACCTGTAATTGGACACCCATTTGATCGTGTGCCAATTAAGTGTCAAATAGGCATGCGGAGAACCAATCATGATTGAGAATTTTGTTACAGATACGATTAGTATCAAAATTAGCCAAACTAACTTCGTTTTTGAGTTGATAATCCAAAAGAGTTTTTACTTCTTAGTGAGTTTAGTAAGGCTTTAATTTAAATGCACACAAGATAATTTTTAATTGACAGCCATTTATGAATAGGGTCAAGTTGACTATCTGATAATTTGGTGGGAGGGCAGACAATAAACAAAGCATATGATGAGAGAGCATGCTTGATTGAAAAGCACTGAGAGTCCTGAATGCTGAATGTTTGGGTGATTTCTGAAATTTAGTTATAATCAAAAGGTGCATGGCAATTAAAATTATAGTCGCAATTTCTACCTATATTAATTTTGAAGGAAACTCCTGATGGACGACGTAAGATTGTTGATCTGATTGATGCCAGTGGTAGTGGTGATGTCGATACTTCAACAGTTTGTGAAGCAGTGGATGGTTGCCTTACTGGAGTGACAGGCAGGAAGCTTCAGGTTTATGCCTTATCTATGATAGTCTTTGCCTTTATTTCTTTGTCTCCTGTCAAAATGGATTAATTTGTTTAACTATTATTCCAATGTGGGGATCTATATTTATAAACAGGTTCCGGATGACTGGGAAAATCCTTCTGGGAAGTTTTTTATTGGTGTCAAGAGTGCATACAGTTTATTTCCAGGCGGGCTAAAAGGGAGACGTGTGGTAAGTCATTGACAGCTTTGCCTAAAACTAAGAGCCCTGTTCATTCTTTCTGTTGTCACATGCAATCACCTTTGAGAGTTTATTGGTTATAGGGTGGAATCCCAAATTCCCAAACTTAAAACTCCGTTAAACTTGAACCAATTCTATGCTCCCTTGGGATGAGTTTTAGAAACCATTTTCAGTTTCAGTCATTTGATACGTCAATGATGCCACCTTCAATACCCTGAACTTCTGATTTCTCAAACCATTTTTCATTTCCATTGACTATTCAACGAATCTGTTAAAAAAATTCCTCCTTGATTTAGCGCTGCAATGTATTGATGCTGCAATTATTTACATGGAAACTGTAGCATGAAGCAGCTAAGAATGTTGGCAATCCTCCTTGCTGGGATGCTAATCCCTTACAGGTTTCCTCCCTCACCTCTCTTACCCCATCTATAGCTTTCTCCAGCAATGGACCAGTTTTTACTGAATGGCATGATGTGCACTTTTCCGATTTTTTCATTCAAACAAAAAATAAACCGCTCTACTCAATTTATCATGCTGAATTAGTCAATATTTGAAGTTTCATTAGAATCTGTTGCAAACTCATAAAAATATGGGACCCCTAACCGGCCAATTGCTATAGAGAAATGTATGCCAGGGGGGCAACGCTTGCCCCCTTCCAGACATTTCCTTGTAAGTTTGGGGTTCCATATTTTTGTGAGTTTGCAATGGACTCTTATAAAACTTTGTTGATTTACTAAATTTGGCAAAGGTAAATTGAACTATGGAGGTGATTGTTTGTATATTTGCAAAATACTAAAAATTGTTGATATTGTGTGACATCT